CCAGGAGGGATCAGTCCCTGGAGAAGGATATCATGTTTGGTAAAATGGAGGATCAGAGAAAAAGAGGCAGATGCCCAATGAGATGTTTTGGCACCGTGACAGCAGCAATGAGCTCAGGCATAGCAACAATTGTGAAGTTGGCCCAGGACCGGGCCGTGTTTCATTCTGTTGTGCATAGGGTCACTATGACTCGATGGCACCTAACAACAACAAGAATGGCAATCATGACAATAGCTATTTATTAAATGCTATTCTAAGAAGCACTGAGGAGTCTTAGTGTTGCACTCTAGGATAAGCACTGGACCCCTAACTGCAAGGTTGGTGATTCAAACCCATCAGTGGATCCTTTGAAACCCTATACAGGGTCTCTGGAAATCAAAACTGACTCCACAGTACTTAACAACAAGGAGCCCTGGTGGCACAATGCTTAAAGTGCTTGACTGCTAACCAAAAGGTCGGCAGTTTGAACCCACCAGATACTCTGCCAGAGAAAGACCTGACTATATGCTCCTATAAAGAATACTGCTTTGGAAACCCTATGGGGCACTTACATTGTCATATAAGGTTGTGAATCGAAGTCCACCTCCACTATTCATCTGTCATTTTGCCAAATTGTGATAGCTGTGTGTTACTGGGGTGCTGGAATCTATGTCACCAGATTTTAAATGCCAGTAGGGTTACCCATGATGTACAGGTATCAGCAGAGCTTCCAGATTAAAACAGACTAGGAAAATGGTTCATCACTGGAAATCTTTTTTTAATTTTTTGTTTTTAAGTTTTTATTGTGAATTGAGTGATAGTTTACGTGGATGAACATTGGTTTTACACTCATCATTTCATTGCAATGGTTACAGTCTCCTCTGTGCATCGTCATTCAACAGTATTTGCTTCTATTCCCTCTGAGGTTTTGGTTTTTTTTTTTTGGAGGGGGAGGGGGATGTACACAAAAGTACTCAGGAATATATAATCATTTAAGCAACCAAAGATAACATTGGGCAAGCTTGCTTCCTGGCTGCCAGCACACAGCCTCTCTCTTTCTATGAGTCCGAGTCCTCAGCTGCTGTCTCTCTCCAGGTTCTCAT